TTTTTTTTTGGAAAGTCTGTATTATTTACTTAAGCTGAATGGCCCATCCAGCCCAAGCTTATCCCCAGGGTAAGGGAGTATGGCTACTCCCCCATGGGTGGGATGCAAGTCCATCTAGACTTACTCCCTAGCATTTTGGCAGACTTTCTTCTCAACAGTTTGCCAATGGCCATTTATACTCTGTGGTGGAGAAAAACACTGTGAGAGTAGATAGAGTGTTTTGAACACAACAAATGTTGTGCCTAGGACACAAGCTTAGACTTCTCAACCCACAGGCAAGCATGCTAACCATTCGGAGGCTGTGTCTCCCACACTGAGGAGTGATAATACCCCTAATTCCTTCATGTAGAAGAAAGTAAAGCAACCTCTGATGGTAAAAGGTTAGCAGACTTGAAAGACTTAACTTAAACTTTTGTTTTGTAGATTCTCCAGTAAGGGTAGGACTGAGGTCGCCTGTTCCTTTCTTTTCCCCACCCATGTCATGCTTTTCAAGCAAAGAAGAATCATCCTGGGACAGCTTTCAGCCATTGTCCCCAGATGTTTGCCTCACCCAGGTTTGGCAAGAAACACAAGTGGCTGTCAGGTATAATACTCTTAATATACTCTTTTTGGATTGGGATTTGAATCAGTAAGTTGTGCTTTTTTGGGAGCAGCGAGTGATCTCAAAAGGAAAGCATGGGGACTTTTCAATAGGTTTCATGCATCTGGTGCAGAGTCCACTGAGTGACACTGTGTGTCAATATTAATCTGTTTTCAATTGTTATACTTTTATTCATGTATAAGTCTGAAAATTGTGCCCCAATTAAAGAGAGATTTAAAGTTATTTTGTGAATGCCAATTTTACCTTATCCTGTTTTAATTCTAGATATGGTACAAAAGGGAAAGCTTCCAAAGCATTCTTAACAAAAGACAAATCTGGTGCCACATTTCTTTGTTACCTTCTTGGGCAGTTAGAAAAATTAAGGTAATGGCTCTTGTTCAGTGAAACTTATCACTTATTTACACACTCTAATGCAGAATTTGGAATTTTAATAAATACATGAATCTACAAAAGTTAAGATCAATATTACAGGTATGTGTTTCAGCTAAATATGCAGAACTGAAAAATATCTGACCATAACCTATTCAATGTCTTCTGAAGTTCAGTTAAAAGTGGCTTCCTGTGTCAAATTAAGCTTAAAGGTGATGAAATCACTGATCCAAGTCATTTTCATCAGCATTTTCATCAGTATGTTCATACTTTAGTTTGAATCATTTTTGTGCCCTCTTTTGCAGAGGGGTTCAGGTTATTCAGGAGAGGGACTGTGTAGATTTGAACAATACATTTGAGATTCCTGCTAAGGATGCTGTTCCAGTTGAGGTAACAGTGTAAAGTAAATGGGGTTGTTCACATTTTCCTTCTTACATGTCTGCCATCAATTTAGCACTAAACAGCAAACAGTTGAGTCCTTACTCACTGTACTATTAATAAGTTATAAGGTAAGAACCAATCATAATAGGTCTATAATTCAGTTTATCACCTACATTACAAGTGGTGACGTTGTAAAACAAGTGATAGTACCCTCTGTTATGTTTAACTTTCTAAAGTTTATCAGTGGAATTTTGTTTCTCATTTATAGAAATTAAATGTGATGCTTGTTCTGGAGCCAAATTATTCACTAGTCATTTACAGTGGAATGATTAAGGTACTGAAAGAGTGGTTTGTTGAATTTTAGATAAGTGACATAATTTGGTGTTATCAACTGAGCTGATATGTAATTTGGCCATAGTAAAGAGTTTGAAAGCTGGCGTTTTGAGTGTTAGCCCTTTGTCAGGGCAAAAGACACAGGGTTAATGCTCGAAACTTCAGCTTTTCAACTCTTGACAGTGGTCAATTTATGATATAAACTTAGTTGATAATACCAAATTACCCCGTTATACTCTCCCACTGACACAGCACCACAGCTTCTCTAGAAACTCACCCCCTTTATAATAATAATAATAATAATAATAATAATAATAATAATGATAATAACAATGATAATAATAATCAACTTTATCTAATGAGGGTTATGCAAAGCAGTAAATATATTGAAGAACCAGTGGCCCTCAATAAATAGTACAAATTTAAAAACTAATAACATTACATGAAAGCATCAAAGACTAACCATGTAAGGAGTTATTAAAATACAACTATAATATAAAGTTAAAATTTAAGCTATCTTGTATGTTAAAACAGCAAAGATAAGGCCAGTTAATAAAATAGGAAATTTAAAATGAAACGACATGATTTAAAATTACATGACAAAAGTCTTTATAACTATTCACAAAATGTTCTAACATGGATTTCTTGAAGCCTATAAGATTCTGTTTGTTTCTGATCTCGCTGGGGATCTTATTCCAGAGGTGAATGGTCGATACTGTGAAGGACCTCCCTCCCTTTGACTCCCATTTGAATTGGGGGCAGACATAAATTGTCCATGTTTGCTCATTCGTTCATTAAGATCTGCATTTCTTTAGTCATTTAGATTATTGATAATATTGACAAAACTGACAGATACATTCTGTAAAACCCATAGGGCTGTCAAGTAAATTTGCCAATTTTTTCATTGTTGGAAGTTGATCAATCATTGCATTTCAATACACCTGAGAAGGTAAAGAGACTATTGATTGCTTTTTAGTTTTTTCAATGTCAGGGATTTTGAGATACTTATATGGACTCTAAAGGAAAGGACAATTATTAAGGAGTTGGGGGCAAGAATTCTTGGATGCTGCTGTACCTTTATATCTCTATAATAGTGTAGTAATGCATTTTATGACTGAGTGTCATGAAATCAAAACCAAAGCAATCGCAACAGCCAACCATAAAAATGAGAATATTGGAATATTGTTATAACTCGCAGTAAAAACAAGCAAACTGCCCCAAGTGTGGGAAAGAGCAGGTGATTAAGTTTTGAAGCAGTTAGTTTTGGTTTTGAATCTTAAAGTGGCACAAGTTTCTGAAAAACTATGGAACAAAAAAAAAGAAGCAAATCCAAAGCAATCCTGGATTACTTTTGACACTCAATTGCTCTGTCATCTGGAAGCAAGTTTCACTGTTTTGGATATGATTTGTCCACTCTTTTTAAGCTGGGAGGCAATGAGAGCAAGGGCATGTGTACTTGTACCCCAATGTCAAAGCCTTGTTCAGTGTGTGGTTCTTTAAGTTTTTCCAGCCCTTCTATTTTGCCTTTTGGTCATTTTGCAACTTTTTGAGATAATCTTTCTTTGTTTGATTCACATTTTCTTGTTCAGAGAATGTTTGATTCACATTTTCTTGATTCTATGTCAGTGAATGTTTCACCATCTCAACAGGTTTTGTCATTTTCATCAATTAAACTGAGTAACAATGAAGTTAACATGGATGGTGAGTTAACAGAAATATGTACATTGGTTCTGATCACTTTTGATATTGCCTATAAGTACAGAATTAAATGGTCTTGTTTGCCTTTTTATTGCCATAGATGTAGAAGGTAAACCATCACTGGGAAATGCATTACAGGATGTGAAAATTTTATCACTGAGAGATCCAGTGTCTGAAACTTGTAATCTGGTAATTAATCACATTATTATATTGATTTTTTGATGCTTTAACCACAGAATTGAAACAATAGTTGGGAAGAAAAAGAGAAGACAGACATTTAGCAATTAGTTTGAATGCGGAAGAAGAGAAGGAGTCTAAATCCTCTATTTTTTTTTAATAATAATACTAATAAATTTTACAGTACTCAAGAGTACAATGTAATACAATACATTACTTTCAACGCTGCTTACTTGCATTAATGACAATACACTATAATTATCACTTATGGCTAATTACATACATTACTTACAGTATTTACAATACTGGTTACTCACACCACTGGCAATTACCTCAATCCTCTATATGAATTCAAACCATAGAGTCTGACTTGATTTTCTAGTTTGATGCTCTACCAATCTGAACTTTAGACAACAGTGAGGAATTAGTTGCCATTGATAAATGGCAAGGGTTTAGTTGCAAAAATTGTACCATTGTTTGGCTACTAAAGCCAAACTCATGTGTGATAAATTTTTGAGAACCTCATCTGTCAATTACATGGAGTAACATTCCTAGCTCTCAAATATACCTGATTAAATAATCAAATAAATATAAATTTTCACCTTTTGTAGGTATTGTCAGATGGATCAATATACAGAATTAAACTTCCAATATTGTCCCAAAACTTGGCAGGTTAGTACACAAAACTTTTTGTCAAAGTATGCACCAAATCTACCATGTTGCATTTGACTTCTCTTAAATGCTTCTTTTGTTTGCTCAGTTACAGCTTGTTTAGAAGCTTTGAAGTACATTCTTCCTGGGTTGTTGGTGATTCAGGCTCAACTGGCCTGTTATGCAGTGGCCCAAGTCCCTCATTTGCAAGATAGTGAACAAGAATGGAAGTGGTTTACAAAGTGTGTCTTGGAGTTAATGGGGTTTCAAACTGAGGACAAATTTAAGGTAGTAAATTGCCATATTGTGGGGGCATCCATAAGGCACCAGGGCTAATCTCAGTTGCTCTAGCATGAAGTATTAAGAAGTATGGCTACTTCTTCCAAATGGGCTGTTAGTCCATAACATTAAACCATGTTTCACTAAAAGTTAAGCCATTTTTTCTTCTGGGTGAAAGAGGTACTGTGAGAGTGGAGAGTCTTGCCAAGAAAATAATAATAATAATGACCTGGCTAGGAAAGCAAGACCTTGACCAAGAGCCTGACACATCAACCATTAATCTTCCATATCTTACATATCCAGAGTTTTCATAAGAAATACAACTTGTTAGCTGCCTTTGAAAGTAGTCAATACCTGAAAAGGTGAATTAAGGAGAATTTTAGGTAAACTTTACTTTTGATCTTAGAACTACCAGTTTGTCTTTGCCTAGTAATTTTAAAAATATTATTATTATTATTATTTTTTTTTTTTTTTCCAGAGTGACTCACCAGAATTGCCTGCAGCTAAAAAATCAAAAACCCAGGAAGAAGACCAGGTATAAAGAAAACATATAGTTAAAGTGTTACTAAAGTTCTCTTCTCTTATGGGCAGAGGTTAACAGGTACCTCTTAAGTGTACCAATCTGTTTTATGTCTAATCATGTAAGCCCTTCTTAGAATGACATCATTTGTGTCTATCTTACACTGTTACTTTCACTCTGACTCGTGCTCCCCATTTCTGGAACAAAGTGTCCTTAACTTATGAAAAATTATTCTTAAAGTTAAATTTGAGAGCATTAATGGGAATAAAGTGTTCAGTATCAGAGAAAGTTGAAACAAATAATTCCGGTAGTTCTTTTGAAACTTGAATTTTGAACCTGCCACCATGGAAGATGAAATGACACTTCATGGTTGTCACTTTGGTCTGCATAATACTTTCAGTACCCTTTGAAAAAAAGATCTATTGTTTGATCGTAATAATGGCAACTTTATGACATCATAGAATTCAAAATCGTGCTTACTGAGGAATGCAGCACATCAATATTTCTTGCGTTTGTATCCAGTGTTGGTTCATTTTGGTCCTGGCAACTTCTTGCCGTAATGGAAGATTCCTTCTAGCATAAAGATATTTATTTAGTACACTCTCTCATGATGAAATCTTTGCATTTCATGTGCATTAAATTGTAGGCTTGGGAAATGTTGACAATGAGTGACTTTCATCAAAACATGTCAAGGCAAGGCATTGGACTGCCACCATTGTTAAACAAAGAGACCCCAGGGGAGGAGAAGCATTCCTTTCCTATGCAGTGAGTGACCATACAACTTTAGACAGTTCTTCTAAGCCAGGGATTTTGCTTGTAACAGCTGACCTTGTGCCCAACAAAGACAAAAACACAACAACGTGTCACCTATTGATATACGTGAAAAAAAATTACGCTCGTGTGTTTGGCTGGAAACGAGTGCATTTCTCGTGAAACTCGATTGCAAAGTTGTAACACGAGTGCAAATTACCCAACGCGGGCGTGCGCTGGCAAAATTTCGTCCGTCTTGACTCTCTGTGATACGTTTTTCATGTAGATTATGTAAGTACACTGCACCCAGACTGCCTGTGAGCCACAAATTCATAAAGTTTGTGCAGTAAGAGGTCTCAATTTGCTCATTTGAAACTAAAAGATCACGTCTAGGTTAAGCATGAAGTTCCCACAAGATCTATTTGATTAGTATGTGTATTAGTATTTGTATTAGTATATATTGATGAGCAGGTATTGGTATCTATTGGATTAACATGTTGAGCAAAGAGAGCGTTGGGGAAATCCTTGATGGCCTGTTTCAGAAGCACATTGTATCAGTTGGACCGTAGTATTTTGTAACTTTGTAAATACTGACTGGAGACAAACTTGAATGATATATATTTTGTTTTTTTCACAAATCAGTGAAGGAACATCTGTTCAGATTAAATAAATAAATATGTTTATTTCTACCTACTTAGAATTAAAAAAGATGCCCTTCTTCATAACCACATTTCCTCCATACTGTTTGCGTGGCATTTGATTTATGAGGTATTTTTGACTTGTTAGACTTGGAATTTACATTGATATTTTGTCATTGCCTAAAATTTACTTTTAAAATTTTTCCTCACTTTGTAGGACCTCAAATTAAATATTCTGGGGAAGGACTCCCTGTGTCCTATGGCTCAGTTTCTTTGTGACCTTGCATTGTGAGTTATTAGTCCTAATCAAACATTAATTTAAGTCCTTTTAATTTCGATTTTCATTTTCTATTTCTGTCCTCTCAAAAGCAGCCAAAAATGAATTTGATAGTTTTGCACGGGACTGACTGGAGGGTGGTCCAAGGACAATCCATCAATTGCCTAATGCTAATGCCAGTGGCAATCAATTTTAGCTTGGCCGTTACTTTCACCTAAGAAGTGAGCCTGTGACCCGTCACATCCAAGTGAAATAATTAATGTGGTAGAGTTTTATTCTTCAATTATAGTTAACTGGAAAAGTAACAGTCGGGAGATACACAAAGATGATTTCTGACCTTAACGTGTTGTTCTTTCAATCAAGAAACCTGTAGGATCATTTGTGGTGATAAGCTTTACGTGTACTTGATATTGCAGAGCTCTTGGTTGGCATGCCTATGTTGATTATTACTGCAGGGACTTTCCTTCTCTTTTCCTTGGTTCACGGGATAGTCCTGCCCATATCATAAGAGGTAAAACGCTTCACGAGCCTGCGAATAGTGTTTCATACTTAGAGAAATTATGAAATAATATTCATAGGTTTGTGTAACATGCAAGATAACAGATAGTGTTGGGAAAAATATCAAAAAGCAACATAGCACATATCTGCACTTTAATGTGATAACGTTACAACATACTGGGCCATCTTGCATCGTTGATGAATGTGCACAACTAACTTTGATGACGAAATCGAAATCGAGTTTACGACTTGCTCAGAATACTATCGAAGGTTATGTTAGATTAGTGCGATTTCTCATCAATGGAGGAAAGCGTTGAAACGTGTAACCAAGTCATCATTGAAATAATCAGTTAAAGAGAGGATTGTCGAGTCGCATTATAACAATTGCTTCTTGCGCGAACGGGCCTATGGACAAACGTTAGGTGAAGCATGACTAAATTTTCTCGACTTGATGGGTTACCACATCGTTAGAGGTATGGTGCTTCGCTGCGCGCGCCATGAGTTCCGCTATCTTGAGATGAGATGTGTGTGGCCATCCCAACTTATATGATTGAGAATTCTTTTATTCCAAACGATGAATTTTTTTTATGGTATTGTTACAGACCAACAGAGTGAGATGTTTCTTCCTCTGTGTGAGAAGCCTCCCAGTATAATCCAATGGCTGTATAACTTTCTTAATGGACACCCGGTAAGAGAGAGATGACACCGAAACGTTGTGGAATGAATCTTTCGTTCTTACGGACAAGACAATTGAAAATGAAACTGACGTTCTTCTGCTTCAAACACCAGGTTGAACCTTTTCCTGTGCTACCAAGAACTACCAAGCACACGTATAATATCATTATGGTGAGGATGGTTTATCTCTTCTTTAATGGACGAATGATCATCATAGCTAACTGATAAAAGCTTACATAACTTTGAACAGTATCCAATAACTCATTTATCGTTAGCAATGCACCCACTGCACTGTTACCACAGGAAGATCTTAGGCTATATCCAATTCAAGCTTGATTTAATCTCAAGCTTTACTTTCATCTAACTTTCTACCGTATACTGTATTCATTTCATATAATTTTTTTGCGCAGTTTTTTTTGCTCCCTAATGTTGTTATTTGTTTTGCTTTATTTATGTCAAAGCTGTACTCACTTTTCAACAACATAGAAGACAAAAACAACCTTGAAGATGATGCAGACAAATTGTTCAAATGCATCAGCTATTCAGGTATCTTCTTACAATCTCGTTATTGTAGCATAACTAAAATATTTGTTTTAACGGCGAGAAGAACGCTATGCACTCGATAAATCTCTGTCCGGTAGAAAGCGCATCACGGTTTGATTTCACTTACGCAAATGGGCCTTGATCTTTACTTTTGAAAGGATAACTTTAAAAGTGTAGGCTTTGACAAAATTTCATCGCCCATTAATTGATCATCTACTAGGATAGATAAGCATGTTAAAATTTACAACTTCTGACCTTCCATCCTGTAGAAGAGGTGATCGCCACTTTCAAGGAATCATTTGTAACCACACAGGAGAAGCTTAGGTGGTAAGATTAAAATGCGATCTTTGCTTATTACAGGCAGAATTATATTGCACGTGCAAGGGTGCAGTAAGATTGACGAGTAACTTTTCTTGGGTTTTGTGTATTAAAACCCTAACTTTAGGAAGCAATTGAAGGAGAAGAAGAGCCAGCTTATGAAATGTCCACTGCACTATTCCTTTTATTATTATTATAAATATTAATATTTTTATTATTATTATTTTTATCATCATTATTATCACTATCATTACTATTACTATTATTGTAATTATTATCATTAACTTCGTATATTGGTAGCACATTATCTAATAAACAGGTGTTGAAGGTAGACCATAGCATCATTGCAGGGTTTTATTTTGATGAAACACCAAATTCTCTTAGCTTCAGAAGAAAGAAACGTATACCAACCAAAAGGGAGAGTTAGTTATGAGAACCTTTATTTTTTAGTTTTGATTCTGATGCTGATAAAGTGGTCGCATTCCTCGCGAGCAGTGGTAAGGAAACCATCCCTAATTTTGAGAATTATTTTATGGTCTTT